TTCCTTACTTGAGAAAAGACCGTAGTAGGGTACTGTAGTAGTAGGGTTGCCAGAACTACATAATTTATTATGTATCTATTAGGCAGTCTTGTTTAATTTCTACTACTACAACAACAGCACCACAAAGAGAAGGAAAACTTGAAACAAACCCTATACCAACCCGTCTGGCCAGCGTGGTATAGTAGGCCTAAAACTCCTTTCTTAGGAGAGGCCTATGTCCAGCAGTGGACTATTATAGGCTGTTGTTGAATTATGTGTTTACAATCACATGGAACCTCAATGAGAATTAAATTACATTAATATCAGTTTTACCAATACCGCATTCAGTGTAAATACCGTCAGTTTTGTAATGAATTTCCACGCCTATTTGTACTCTGTACATAAACAAATATCCGGGTGTTAATAGATACATAAAAAATTACTTGTCAGTCAGAGTGTATCATCAAAGCAGAGCCTAAACCGCTGAGGCTTCAAACTTGAGACAGCTGATTATTTTTATGTTGGAAGTGCCAAAGAAAGGTTTTTAAAGTGAAAACTTTCTTAGACCCGTTGGGCATTGAACAACAACAACCACCGTTAATACAACAACCGTTACATAAACATATATTGCGATAATACGTACAACATAGAAATATATTCATGTCGGTACTTTTTGAATCGAAAAAAACAAAAAAAATACCTGTTATTAAAAAAACAAAAAAAAACAAGTTTACACTGCTGTCGGCACTCCCGGAGTGCCACTGTTTTTTATTTGAACATTTCACCCCCAAGGGGGTAAAATAAGGATCTAAGATTGTATGAAAATTCATCATTTTCAAAGTCAGAAACACGGATAAGAATAAACACGCAAGTGAAGCCATGGGCAATAGCTAGTTATCATATGCGAATATATCCATACTTATATTATAAATTTGAATCTGAGTTTGCTTGTTTCTTTGTTACGCTTTCACGCCTAAACCACTAAACCGCTTGTTAAAATTCTTTAACTACTATACGAACTACTACGATAACCGACATACATATCAAGCTAGTTAGAATATGAATATGTCTGTAAATGTGTGTATGGATGTGTATAATATATTTATATTACACATACATACACACATTTACGGACATGTGTATAATATATTGGTGAAATTTGTGAAAAATATTTTTAAAATCCGTTTAGTGGTTTCGGCGTGAAATCGTAACAACACACATATACAAATGTAGGTGTATGTATGTATATAGATAAACTATGCTACACTGTACACACATCACACAAAGCATAAGTAACAAAATAAACTAAAACAACTTAAGGTAGATAAACATTTTTGCTATAAATTTAAGATAACTTTACAAGGTATAAACATTATCATTATATGTAGCCATAACTCAATAGTTTAAATAACATGCAACAATACATCTTTCAGTCTTTTGTTTAATTGACTGCGACCGCTTAAACCATTACGCTATGTAATGGTTTAAGCGGTCGCCACGTCGCTTACGCTGAGTGTTGTAGGTTCGATCCCCACATGGGACAACACTTTGTGTCATCCACAAATTGATGTTCTGAGTCTGGGTGTTTTTTGTGTCCGTTTCATGTATGTTTGTACAGTCCCTCCCGCTAATATTATTATATATTATAATATATTTCGGACATCTGACACACAACGCCATCTAGTTTAAAACTAAGCAGAACTTGTACTATGAAAGCTAGATTGACTGATACAATATTTATATATATTTTTGGAAAAACATATTAGACATAGAAAACACCCAATGCGGGAGTAGTATTTTTAAAAGTTAAGGAATAAAATTTACCGGTACTTATTTTAGGATTTTGTATTGTTATGACGTCAGCGGTTACCTTCCTTACGCCTGCCCGAGTAATCTTCTAGTTGTCCAAGACCACCAACTTGAATGATACCTAAACATAACATATTAAGAACCTGAATATTTGTAAAAACAACGTTGGCAAGCTGTCGCCTTTAAAAGTCGAGGTCGTTATTGCAGCTTATCGTTAGTTACCTAACTTTCTACAGATGTGACATTTGGCCCTTTCCCTTCCTCCACGTGTTAATAAAAACGAGGAAGATTATTCTTTGTAATTGTTGCCATGAATGCCAGACAGATTGATGATAAGTTAAATAATTAAAAATACAAACCCACAGCGTGGAAATCGTATACCTACTTAAATTCTCAAACTTAATTACATATAATATTTGATATCTTTTTTGAGTATGTCTCGTTTCAAATTAAATTTTATTATATCCTTTGTTTTAGTAACCCTCGATAAGTTTAAATAAAAAACTAAATTTGGAGACGTATAAAGGCGCCAAAAATCGTCCACTTTAATTTTAGTGATTTTGATGACACTGACACTGGCTATGTGTCAGTCTCACAATAAAGACCAAAACTAACGAATACTCTCAAGCAAAACTCATCAAGCCGTTTAGGTTCAGGATGTGCCAAAAAATAAAATATACCTACAATCTAAAAACATAACACTCTTGGTACATTCGGGTGATAAATCAAAATTGAATAAAATCGACTATATCTTGAACAGTCTAAATAATATCGATTAGATTATTCAATAGATCGTTTTCATTTCTATTTTATTATCACTCTCTACGATGTCTTAAATTCAAATACGGAACGTAACGACGCACATACCTACCAGTCAGAAATAGATAAAAAAACTACTGGAAATTTACTCTGTAGCTTATTCAAATGTACAATAATAATAATTATAAATTGGCCTCAATCAACCGTATTCATGAATCATTGGAGTTTATACCGTATTATACAACTGGTCAAGGTGATCTTGTTATCATAGTAGTTTGATAATAAAAAAATAATACGTTTTGAAAGCTGGTTGGCAAAAGGTGGCTTATAATTTAAATAGGTATTTCGAACAAATCAACACAGCCGAAATAGCTCAGTTGGGAGAGCGTTAGACTGAAGATCTAAAGGTCCCCGGTTCAATCCCGGGTTTCGGCAGATATGTCTTTTTGCGTTTACATACATTTTTATTTATTAATTATTTTCTTTTACGTTTTGTTGACGTGTGATTAAACGGCATATAACATGTATTTGTGTAAAATCAATCCACACAAAAGAAACTAAATGAGGATTTACCGATTATATTTAATAATATAACCAACATCAAAACTATTTTTTTTTTAATTTGTAGAAGTAGTAAGAATATACACACATTTTTTTGCGATTAAATAACTCAGAAATTTCAATTTAAAACCGAAATTTCTATGCACTTCAGATAGACGGGAAATAGAAAATATTTATTATGGAAGAAGCGGCAAACGAGCAGACGGGTCACATGATGGAAAGCGACCACCACCGCCCATGAACGCCTGCAACTCAGGAGTCACAAGCGCGTTGCCAGCCTTTGAGGAAGGAGTACGCTCTTTTCTTGAAGGTTTAGAGTTCGTATCGGTCTGGAAATACCGCAGACGATAACTTATTCCACAGATTGGTTTAAATACTTATACTATGCATCCCCTTAGTTCTGGGGAGAAGGGCAGAATTAAGGGGGATCAAAGTATTAGTTCTGCGACTTATATGGCCAGCTCACTGCCAGTTAAGCTTGCTGAACCGGTCGGCTATGTCGATGATGTTGGTTGGTTGGTTGGTCTCATTGCTGATGCGATCACTTAAAGAAACACCGAGTATAGCCCTTTCCATAGCACGCTGAACCGTTGGGGTAAACGAGTTCTTGACTGGAGACCACGTCTCGGTAAACGCAGTGTAGGATGCCCACAGGCCAGGTGGAGTGATGGTTTGCGTAAGATGGCTGGCAGGAGCTGGATGCGAGAAACCGTAAATCGATGGCAGTGGTGTGCAATAGGAGAGGCCTATGTCCAGCAGTGGACTGCGATAGGTTGATGATGATAGTGTTAGTATACAATAGTATTGGACAAAGAGTGGCTCTTGTATATATAGACTGCTCAAACTGGGTTGTCGACCGTTTAATGACAATTTTACCTGCGATGCTGTCTGTATCTTATCACAAGCGCTTATTTCGCAGTCTTTGTTTATTTTGCCTCGCTCCTGGATTTGCTACTGATTCTATTTTGATAGGTAATATCGGGATAAAGAGTTTTCGAAATACTCGAAGGAAAAATTGGTTTATAATAACAATTTTATATACTTGTATATTTGTCTCTGTTATGTGAGTGGAAATTTTTGCTACTTTTAAATCATAATCATAATGTAATGATTGGTTTTAAGTCAGTGCGATTTTACCTGTGATTGTGAATTGGTCGTAGACAAAGATGGCAAATGGCATCAAAATCAATTAAAATTCTTTTATCAATGATTACGACGCCCTTTCTTTAAAGATTTAGATCTTTCGCGAGTTTTGTAAATTAGTAACAGGTGTGATTATATGATTTACAAATCATATGACCTATCACAGGTGATTGATATTTTTATCTATCGCTGATCCCTACCTACACACCAAAAAGAGTCTTAACTTGAATCATTTGGCCTGAGATATGATTGACCTTGAACATTTGTCGCGATCAAAAAGTTCTTAGAAAAAATTACTACATTTGTCATTCGTGTAAACTTTAAATAAGTTTATCAAGATGAATAGACTAATAGTTTTTTTTCTTTTTTTTCCTACATCTCCCGCATTAGGAATAAATCCTGTGTCGCGACGGACTTTACGAACATGCAAACATACATGAAACGGACACAAAGAACACCCAGACTCAGAACAACAATTTGTGGATCACACCAAGTGTCGTCCCATGTTTGGATCGGATCCACAACACTTAGCGTCGTAGTAAGCAGCGTAGCGACCGCTTAAACCACTACGCCATCCGTGCAGTTTGTTTATTCATATCTATTGAATGCACTACATTTTTAAGTCTCCGGTATTTGACATCAGTATTGCATACTTCAGTATGTAGTTAACTTAAAACGATATCAATAAAAAGAAAAATAAAATCAATACTCCTCCTACACATCACTAATAGTTTAATTTTTGTCCTCAGGTACTACGGCCTATGACACAGTGAGACCGCTCGCGTACCAAGACGCGCGAATTTTTATGCTGTGCTTTAATATTGCTGAGCCTGAATCTTTACACAATGCCGCTGCCAAGGTTAGATATTGAAAACTATCGCATTCAGCCTTTAGTTTCAGTTCAGCTAGCTTTGTAGTTTGTAGTCGGATTCCCTTTACTTCTGTTGCAGGCAGTGGACTGTATATTTTGCGTCGCTCGTAAATGAAATCCTTGGTTAAGGGATTTAGGTGTTTTTATTGAACTTGACAGAGAGAGCACACACATTAACATACCAATTATTCTCAACTATAATGTTGCCACTTTAACAAACGAAATAGTTTGTTTATGATTTCCATAAACAACTTCTGCTCCAAAGAGTTCTGTTCTAGCTTGACGGTTTACTCAGACTTTGTTTTGAATCTCTTTCTGCATGCTTGACCACGTGAATTCCGGCGGTTGTCCTTTTTTCACGATTCCTCAGGGATATTTAGGCTCATTACAGGAGGGCCGGAGTCGATTCTTTTACAATTTTTCCACAATGGAAGTTAATTTGAACGAACTCTACTCATTCCTCTTTCAAATAAATAAAAAAAAATGTTTATCCATTCGGATTAGTTCCTTTTAATTTTTCTTGAGTATAAAAAAAATTGTTGTGTAAACAAGGAATCAAAACCGCCTCCTTCTGATTCCTTTTCCATTGAATTGTTACAAATTTCAAGTATGTGCAAATTACAACATTTGAGCTTAATATGTTAGATTGAAAGATCGTAAAATTCAATTGCTGGATTAGGGCCACGCTTACAATAAAATGAAATGAATACTGGCTACATACAATATTACAATTCTTTTTGTTTACGTATCTATTTTTAAATTCGATAACGTCATTGTTCACTACATTGTATAGCACAGTGACTGATTTGCAAAAAGTAAGATAGTTAGGACGCTGTACGTCCTAACTATCTTTGAAAATACTGTAAGGAGTATCACATTTGTGTTTATGTATGCAACTTTATCGAAATCATATAAATGTAGTCTCTAGCCTTGTTAAAAAAAATAATTGTGCCAACCGTGTCTAAATAGTTCTTTGTGAATAAAAGTTATTTAATTACTTTTAAAGCAATGTGTTAGTTCAATAGATAGCTTCGCTCACCGTTCTTAAACTTTCCCTTTCATCAGATTCCCCAGTTCCCGCTAAAATGTCGTGAACTTTCGGATCTCGGGAATCAAACCTAAGTACAGACCAGTTTTCCAGAGTTTCTATTACTGATTAATGATCGAGAAACAATAAGGGAAATAGTATTTATTTTATACTTACGTATGACATTTTTTGTGCCATAGATCACAACCATACTATAGAGGGGTTTAGAGGTTAGAGACATTATACATAATTATTATCTAAACTTTTTTTTTTTAATTTCTAGTGGTACAGAGAAGTTAGGACTCACGGCGGCTCAGCGCCAGTGCTCCTCTGCGGCTGCAAGGCTGACCTCAGACATGACAAGGAAACCCTCACCATGCTGTCTAAGCTTCGGACACACCCGGTTACTAGTGAAGAGGTAAATTTTAGCACCAAAATTTCGACAACTGAAGTAACTCACATGCTAAAACTTCTTTTTGTATAACAAAACTTGTCAAGCGCAATCAAATTCTCGGTTGATTTTCAATGTTGAGAAAAAAATTAACTCTCGCTTGCCTGCAGCCTGCCTTGCCTCTGTGGGAGTGATTTCGTGAAAAGGGACGAAATTCTGTAACAGGAAGTCGGGGCGTAGCGCCTTTATTGTTTTAACCAATGGGCGCGCGCTATACTAAATACTTTAGGGCTCGTTCTTTTTTTGAATCCGTGTGGTAGTCAAAGAATTTACCGCCTTCACCTAAATAAATACAAACTCTTCAAACTTCATTCTTCATCAAATTGAAAAAATATATATTGAAATGAAATATACAGATCATGTGTAATTTCGTACGTAGACTAAATTACAACAACAGCTAAATTAATATCACAGTAAATTAAAAATGTAAATTGTCGGCGGTTGTCCTTTACCATCAGGTGACCCGTCATCATTCATTCATCCCGTGGGTGTCGTAAGAGCCGACTAAGGGAGCAAACTAAGCAGGACAACAGCACTGCAAAGAGAAGGAAAACTTGAAACAAACCCTATACCAACCCGTCTGGCCTGCGTGGTATAGTAGGCCAAAACCTCCTTTCTAAGGAGAGGCCTATGTCCAGCAGTGGACTAGTATAGGCTGTTGATGTGATGATGATGACCCGTTTGTTAGTTTGCCCCCTATAACATAAACATATGGTCGTCAGCTATGTATAATAGGACAGCAATTTGTATGAGCACTTACCCCCGAATGTTTCCTTCCAAAATAAACGACACACACTGAATTCCCAATTTACATTCAGCTTAATCTATTTCATGTGCAAATATTATTATTAATCTCCGAACAGCTCCTGAAACGTGTTCTAAGTTTTCAACTTCCTCAATATCACAGTCCTCTGCAAACATCACAAATTGAAAAGCCTCTCTTTGACCAAAGGAGATTTAACTTCATTCATCAAAATTTTTATTTGCATTGGCATATAAATTTTACATGTTTATTGTGAAGAGCAATTTCAAAACGCGGTCACCAATTCAGACTTGGCCGAATCAATTAATTCAAGATCTTTATTCAACTAGTTACCATTTTACCATTTAGTGAATGGGAGCGCTCTAATTGGGTAACTCCATGAATGGAACAAATGGACTCCTGAATTGGCGCGACATTGAAATTCTTTGGAGCGCCTGTCTCTACGTTGAATTGATATTGTAATTGAAATTTGTGACTTCTTTAATGAAGTTGGAAAATACCCTTATCACTTGAAAACCATAGTGACTCGGAATGAATCTGAGTGCCATGCCGAAAACTATGAAATCACCCACGTGCCATCAAGTGTTACAGGAATAAGTGAAATGTATTGATAAACCAATATTTTAAGACTCCTTAAGTGTAGGTTTGACTATAATATTTAGAAAATTAGATAGAAAAGAATATCAAAACACATCTTTGCACAGACGTGTAATATTTCTACATCATTCGAAGTTTGACTGGTAAGAGAATGCCATGAGCATTCATTCTATTTTTGTGCATAAGGAGAACTTAATTTAATTATTTAAACTAATCTTTATAAATACACAATACTCATATGGATGATTGTTTTCATCAGATAACAATTGAACGGAAAATAATAATAGTTGAAATGTGTGTTAATAAAACTAATTGAATTGAGCTATCGCCATTATTTGTGATGTGGATACTTAATCTCTTTATTCGCTTTATTCGACCTTTATTTTGCAAAAAAACGCAGGACACCAGCACTGCAAAAAGACGGAAAACTTGACACAAACCCTATACCAACCCGCCAGGCCAGCGTGGTATAGTAGGCCAAAACCTTCTTTCTAAGGAGAGGCTTATGTCCAGCAGTGGACTATTAAAGGCTGTTGATGTGATGTGATGATGTGACCTTTATTTTCTGTTTTATTTATTTAATATTTCCTAAACTTTACATAGTACGAGACTGACTGCCATCTACCTATCTACCATCCATTTTCTTTTTCTTTTAAAGTTTACATTTAATTAAGTAAATGACCCATATATAAAATTTTGTTAAGCTTTAAAAACCATTACTTCATTAAATGTATACATATCCAAAAAGTAAATGACCCATAGATAATGAATATTATAGATATAATATTTAATCTATAATATTTAGTTAATTTTAGACCTAAGCTTTAGAAACCCTTACTCCATTCAATGTAGACATACAAAATATCGCTTTAAGTAAGCCTAGTTTAGTTTGTAATACACTCCCAAGTTTGTTTATGACATGTAATTATCAGATTAATCTCTAATATTAAACAAAGGATGTCATTCACAGGCCTTATCGGTAGCTAGACAGCTCGGAGCGATGACTTACGTGGAGACGTCAGCACGAGCTTCAACTAAAGGCGTAAAGGATGCTTTTGAAGTAGCAGCGTTGGCAGCACTGGGGAAATTGAACAAGCAACAGATGAAGCAACAGGTACAAGCTAAAGTTAACGAGAATATGTGGTCCAAATATGATAATAATTCAGGATAACGTCCCCGTCTCCCGGGAATCACCTTGCCGTGGTGAGGGGACTTGCGGATATCGGGTACTGGTTATGGTCTTAAGTTTATAGAATAAACAAATAGTAATCAGTTTGTTTTAGTACTGAATGATCTATAAGGTAATGTAGGCAGCTGCTTAGGTGCCTACATCTTTTAGGAACGTCTAACTGGAAACAGAGGGAATACTATTTCGAAAACATTGACATTGACATTCGAAAACAGAAAACTTACATATGTTAACAGGTTGTCTTTCAAAAATAATAAATAATATTTATGTAGATTAATTGAAGAACATAGTGCATTAATTAATATTTTTGTTTTTATACAGAAACAGGTAGGCCGCAGCAAAAGCAAGCGCGATCTTAAGGCTGAGCTGAAAGGGAGAGCGAAGAGTTGCTGCGTCATGTGATCCGTAGCCGGCCACCCCTCCCGGTGGCCGCACGACTGTTAGGCGACCACCGCCCTATCTTCTATAAACCCCGCTGTTCCTTGTAGGAACAACCCCGGGCCTAAGATTATGCCTTGTGGTACACCTAAAATTTTAAATGAAATGTTACTCTAGACAGGAGATAACAATAACGAGACACCTAAACAAGTGTCCCTATTTATTATAATATTTTAAAGTGAAAAGTGATCGATATAATATATATTTTAATTATGATTCATTTTATCAAAAGCCTCATAAAGATCTTCATATAAGTAAATTGAAAATTTCAAAAGGATAGAGAACGAAGTTCTTTCGATTTTAGGTAATGGTATTAGTATTTAAAGGTGCAATCTAATTTTAACCCTCAGGGTTTGAGCGTGAGCCTGTGATAACGTTAAAAATAGAAAATTGGCAAGAAACCTAGAAATGTTTAGATTGGAATTAAAGAGGCGGGATGACGCTCATTTTAAAAGTATAATAATATCATCATTAAACTTGTAACGTAAATTGTAAAGAATCATAATAGTTAAGAAAAAAAATAAGTGTTTTCATATACATTAAAATAACGGTCTAAGTATAACTTGGTGTTTTCTATAAAATAGCATTTTCATATGAGTATGTAATGTAATGGAAATTATTAATGCTCCGTTATTTTGTGTAGGACCAACGTTGCTATTAATTTTAATGCTGTAGCTTTACAATTGTTTTAAAAGCTACAAGCGAATATTTTCTTTGTGATATACATACGTAAATGTAATTTATAAAAATGATATGCACAATGATGGACAATACTAAATTACGGAGGTCCATTTGCTAGTTAGTTTCACGTCCATGTTCGCTATAGATGTTAGATTTTTGTACGTTTACAATATGGAAAAACTTCATGTTGCTTATTTGTGAAGATTGAATGAAAGAAATATTCTTCACTACAATATTGTCAAAAAAAATCATCTTATGGTTATTTGAAAATGAATATGTATTATATTATAATTCCATTAACAATTTATCTGATTATCTGAAGACTACAGTTGGCCTTATCATATGATAGGGCTATTATTTCTTCGGTAAATAATCTACGCCTAACAAATAAAGTAATCATATTTTCTTATAAGATAGCAACAATTTAGCATTTCCTTTTGTCAAATTCATCAGTCTTATTAAGTTCATCATTTCCTTTGTCTAACTGTTCAAATTATTGAACTTTGAAATTTTTGCATTTAATTATTGCGTCTATAATTAGCGATAACCTTCTATTTTCTTGGAAACAGATTTCTGGCTTTCTCTGTAATTTGCCTCCCAAATCTAAAGGCCCTCTATTCACCATCTACTTTAAGCAAAGGCTGTATTCAATAATTAAGTTTCCAGTCACGTTTTTAGCCTAGCTTCTTCCAAGTCATGATTACTTTCATAATCTCAAACGAAAGTAAAACTAAAACGAATATAACGAGAAAATATTTATAGCTACCGATACTCAGCAGTTATGAAATTCGTCGAATTTTAATATCTCCAATCATTAAATAAAACAAGGAAAAATAATATTTATAGAGCTTTTGTGGATTAAAAAACCTGTAAAGGATGGATGAGGACAATACCTTTGGTTGTATAGAAATAGTTCTCGACTTTATTGATTTTTAGTACTTTAATGGGATTGTGTAGGAAATTGAAATATAGTTTGATGTTTTCAATATTTCCTGACTGGGTTAAATTAATCAGTTCTTAATCATAACAATGTTTTTAATTAAAAACATATCCAATGATATGTTTTTGATTTTACAATGTTTGGCTATTTTCGGCAATGTTACACGTTTGAGGTCGATCGATCTGTTACGTTTGTCTTGATATGTGTACTAAAATTGTAGTTAATTTCTTGAGATTGAGATTTTTGGCGGCAACTACGTTCTGCACGCAATTTGAATTTAAAACTGGAACTTTAAAAAGATTATTGAATATACTTTGTATGACAAGTGGGTCTTGAATATTGTATATACTGGCTGAAAATAGTTGGAAGATAATTTTGTTTGTTGAAATTAGAAATTTCTCAAAACATCTTAAGTACAATTTCCCTTTCTAGGTAGGTTAACAAATACCTTCACAGTTTTAATATAATTTTCATTTGTTTAAAGTATTGTAAGTCGATATCAAGCTTTAAATTCAATGTTAGCTTTAATTATCGTTATATTTAACTATTTTAAAATGTAATAAGAACATTTTCTTTATCGCGAGCAACGATCATATTAATATTATTTACCATTTTTATCTTTTATTTATGAACAAATGTACATATCATGTAAGTTTCGTGTTAATGTGAACTCTGACGTTGTTTAATATTCATTGACCTTCTAGAACTTTCTTTATCTTAAAGATCTTTATGCCCCAGAGTCGGGTGGGAAGGGTGCGTCAAATAACATGACACGCTAATTATAACTCATAAGTATTTGACTTTGAACTAAATGATGGTAGATCGCAAATTTTTATCACAATAGCCACAAGAAATAATAAAAGGTACTATTACAAATTAATGGGTAATGGTTATCTTCTCTTCTTGAGGGTTACAGAGGAAAAAGCGTGACTTCCCTTCGGAAACTAAAATCAAATTTAGTTTGTATCTGACTCCTATTTATTGACTTTTGGCGCCAGAACGTTAATTATATAAAATAAGAATGACGTCAGAGTTCTACCAAATGCCTTATATGTTAACTTTTAATTTTGTATTAACGTAAGACATGTTTTAATATTAGACCAGTTAACTCGACGTTAGACTACTTTGAATGTTGTTTCTAGATATCAAATATAGCGTTCAGTGTTTTTGACATACGAGTTTTATTTTATATCCCATATATTTACCCCTTGTCCTTTATACACTAGTAAATTAATGCATCACTTTGATCAAAAAGTTCGGCAACGAGAAACTACCTGAATATATTGGAATTTACAAACCGGCAATTTTAACTTTTATAATTTTCATAATTTCGGTGTCGCTCGCACAATTAAGACGAACCCGACGACACCGGCCGAGCTAAAAACTATCCAGACGTTTAGGTTAAAGAGCATGTCAAAGGATAATATACATATACTCGTATATTAGAATGTGTATGTGTAATATACATATATATTATACATACACTTGAAAATCACAACCTTTTAGCGCAGAAACGAGGTTATACAAATGGTAAGTTGGAGTATCCTGGTGATCGCTCCAATCACAGGACAAAATAAATAAACATACATTCCTTATTCATGACATGTGTGACGTAAGAACCGCCTAAGGGAGTAAACTACGCAGGACAACAGCACTACAAAAAGAAGGAAAACTTGAAAAAAACCCGGTCGGTATAGGGTTTGTTCAAAACCTCTTTTCTAAGGAAAGGCCTATGTCCAGCAGTGGACTACTAACGGCTGTTGATGATGATGATGACATACATCCACAACTTGGGTTAGGTTAGGTTAGGTACGAGCCGAAGAGCATCGGATCGGCTGCGTTCCGGATCCGCCGCTTCATCGGATGGCGCGGAGGCCATGGAAGCGGAGCGGAGCGACAGCCGGAAACGCGGACGCTCAGGGGACGTGGAATCCGACACGTCCGGCGAAATGATGCCACCAAAGGTGGCAAGCAGCCGCCGAGGGAGGGCGCGCAAACCGGCCTCGGTCGCGATCCCGTCAGGCTCCGCGTTCTCCAACGCGGAGTCGTACAGGAACGTACGGGTGGACGGCGAGGCCGTAGCGGAGGAGGAGATCGCGGATCTCCTGCTCAAGGTTCGGGAGCCGGTGGGGGGAAATGCCCCCCAGGCTCCCGTGTCCGTGCAGGAGAGGGCGAAAGCGGCGGTGGCCGTCATCAACAAGGTGGCCACCAAATCCGTGAACCTTAAGGGCTCGTTTGTGAGGGCCCTTAAGGACTCCTCCTCCGCTTTGTCGGAGGTCGTGGAGGGCCTAGCGGGCGACGTCTCTCGCCTGCAGGTGGCCAACGAGAGGCTGACGGAGCGGGTGAACGAGCTGAGTGCTCAGTTCGCCCGCTTCCAGGCGAACCTCCCCGAGCGGGAAGCCCCGTCCGCGTCCCAGCCTGCCCCTACCACCAACTCAGGGGCATTTGACTCCCAACTGCGAGAAATCCTCATCGCAGTTGGGAATATGCTGGACGGACGCCTGGCTGGCCTGGAGGCGAGACTGCCCCCTGCGCCGAGTATGCGCCCCCCGCTCGCGTCGGCACAGCGGCCTAAGGCCGCCGCTCCGACCGCGCTGCCCGTAGTGGGAGGCCGCGTCTCTTACGCGGCGGCGGCGTCTGCCCCGACTCCATCGGCTCCCCAAAAGCCGAGGAGGGGGGCCAAGGCACCGGCCCAGGCGCCGGCCAAGGCACCGGCTAAGGCGCCGGCCAAGGCACATCCCCAGGCGCCGGCCAAGACGGGGCCTAAAACGGCGCCGAGGAGCGGAGTGGCATTCCCTCCGCTCCCCACTCCGACACCCCTGCCGGGCCCCTCCGCACCTGCCCCCTCCAACGAGGGTTGGCAGGAGGCGAGGGGCTCCAAGAAGTCCCGAAGGCGGGCCAAAAAGGCTGCCAAAAAAGCAGCCCAGGCCCAGCCTTCGCCACCGGTGGCAACGGCCTCCACAAAGAGGCCGCGGAAGCTGCAGCCGCCCAAAACCGCGGCTGTAGTGGTGACCGTGTCCCCGGAGGCGGCGGACGGCGGGCTGTCCTACGCGGCCGTCTTCAAAAAGGCCCGGGACAGCCTCGCCAACGACTTCGGAACGGTGGGGGTCAGGATGCGCCTCGCCCAGACGGGAGCTCGAGTTCTCGAGTTCCCTGGGGCTGAAGGCGCAAAGACGGCGGACTCCTTCGCTGAGAAGCTGCGGGGAATATTTGCAGCCACAGATGGTGTCAGGGTCGCCAGGCCTACCAAGTGCGCGGAACTGCGCATCTCGGGCCTGGACGACTCAGTGACGGCCGAAGATGTCCGCGCTGTAATCCGGGAGAAGACGGGGTGCAGCGCGGA